TAAGGTTCGACCGCGCCGCACGTCGACCAATTCCAGCTGCTAGATCTCGCGCGTGATCAACTCGTGCCGCGCAGCTGCGATTTATTATTTGTTCCCTTTTTTCCCTCCTCTCTTTCTCTCTCATTCCTCTCTCCCTTTCTCCCTCTCTTTCCCGTTTTTCGAAGTAGCCAAATGTATGCCCGTGACGTGGCCATGTAAGGGCTAGGCGGGGATGCCATGCCGGGGCCGCTAATTTTAGATCGACTCCCGTGCTTCCAGGAGTCGACTCGGCGAATCGGCAGCTGGTGATTCGACGAGCCGCTGCTCGCGTACACGTGGGTCCGGCGTATACAATGCGTGTCGCGCGGCGTCCACCGGTCATCCCCCTTCTCGCTTCTTTCGTCTCGGAGAAGGCCGACGTGTCCGATCGCCCTGGTCCAGATGTATCTCGCGATCCCTCTCCCCTCGGGAGGGACACGCGGCGACAATCGGTCAAGAAAGTCCTCTCGTTACATAAACAACCATATGTGAAGAAATCCTTGGGAATCTAATTAAAAAAAAAAAAAATAAATATTTCCTATTTCTATCAATTAAAATAATAAATATGAATACAAGTGTATTTTATTGTTGTGTTTTCTTATTATTTTGTTGTGTTTTCTTATTATTTTTACAGTTTAATTTTGTTGAGCTGTCGACTCGGTGTGGTCCGCAAAATACAACACGACGAGAAGAACCGGAAACGGAGCGGAGACTTTGAGAAGTGTCAGAAAAGACCGCGGGTAGAAATCCGAGGCGCATCCTTTCGCTTCCGATGTAGAAAGGGGAAATGAACGCGCGCACGCGGGAGTTTCTTTGAGCGCGAGCTGAAGCGGCTGGGGGTAAACTGGAGAGATCTGGTGGCGGCTGGTGCAGCGGATGTTTGAAGCCGCTGAAGAAAGCGAGGCGGTGGTTCCTGTCGTGGCTTCCCTCGCTCTTCGTCCCCGCCGCCACTGCCTCTTGCGCGATCCTCCTTTTCTCGGTCAGCATAGGCGGTACAGCTCGGCGGATGTGATGTTTAAGACAAGAACCACCCCGCGACTGACAAAAAGCTCAGCACCGTATAAATAGGCGGTGGTTGTTGCCATCGCGGTTGGCGGTCGTAAACCGATATCGCGCGCTTTGACCCACATAAGTCGGATTGATTGTTTGTAAAACGACGAGCAACCGGTCTTTTGCCTGTTGGAGAACTCGTTCTCGACGGAAGAAAAAGGAATCCTCCTGTCAGTCGCGGGATTGGTTAAATTTCTAATTAATCGAATTCAACTTTTTCAATCTAATTCGTCTCCCGATACATACTTATGCGTGTTACAGTATGTTAAATTAAAAATTCTGTATAATATATATATATATATATATATATATATA